TGTTCTATAGAATAGGTGGGCAAACTCCGCAAACTCCGCAACTCCGCTATTAAAAAATTAATGATTACTAATCATTAGCGAAGCTTATTTCTTATATTGGCCACCTATTCTATAGAACATCCATCTTGTCAGATAAATCATTCAACTTATTGGTTTATATTACCAAAAGCCTTTTCACACCTTAAAAATCTAAAATACTAACCCTAAAATACGTATAAAACGCAAACATATAATACCATATCGATATAAGCGTTTTGTAATGAATGTACAATTTTAAATACTTTATTAAATTTTTTTTAGAAATTTTTCACCACTGATTATTATCCCCGAGAATTAATCCCATCTAATATCGAATATGAGAAAATTTATCACTTTTCATTAAATTTAATACGAATTATTAATTTTAAGATTTATCACAAATATTTATGTGTTAAAGCTAATACGTACGTAATAACCAAGTCAAACCTTCTCAACTTGCTATTAATGGAAATGTATTTAATAGTACAAATTGATAAAGAGGGTAAAAACATAACTCCATTACATTACATCTTCAAATTTGTGTGAATTGTTTTCGTGAAATAAAATTATATAATATACAAAAAAAAAGACGATGTATATACTAAGCTAAACGAGAATCGCACATCTATCAACTATATAATAAATTTTAATAAAAATACAAAAATATATTTGAAACACATTAAAAGCTTAAATGGACGCATAGAAGAAAACTATGCTTTTTTTTTTTTTTAAAAAAAAAAAAAAAAATTAGACAAAATAGAGATGAGTATTTTAAGATTATAAAATAAATTAGAATAACCGAATGTTTTACCGTCCACGACTTATAATTAAACGAATTCCTTTTATCATGATCCTGTCATGATAATACATTCCTAACTGATATCGATATGGAACGACCTAAGTTTGAGGATGACTTTTTTTCTGTAATGTTGCCATTTACTACACCACCAGTACTTGTTGTGGATAATGAAGTAGAATTTGTAACACTTGGAGTCCCTCTGGCAAGTACTTTTGGTGTAATGTATCTTATTGCTGCGATGTTTCCACTTGCTTGTACTACATCTAGAACGGTTTTTCCTGATTTCTTCATATCATTAACAACCTCCGTTGCCCAAGTTCCGACACTCTTTGCTGAACCTCGTGTGATAGGCTGCGGTGCTACACCAAGCACATCCTCGAGATTGTCGTATAAGGCATTCTCAACGTAACATCCGTTTTGTAATAATAACTCAGCCATAGGAAACAGCGTTCTTCCTTCTTCTGTTACCATTTTCGAAGGTTCAATATGGAGCAAAGACAATAACAATGGCGTTTTCAATCCGTGATCTTCCAGCACCTCGAATCGACGTGCAGCATTTACGTCGGCTCTCAACGCAATAGCTTGCATCGCTAAAGGTATATCGTTTGCTTTTACAGCCTGAAAAAGAAGATCTGTCGCCGTTTTATCCTCGTCAACAAGAGAAAAATCGACAAATGCCCGATCTACATATTTAGCTGTGATAAATTTTTTTTTAACTTCGCGAGTATCGGTACTTGTTGGTTTATGAATGGTTTGCACCTTTTTTGGAGTCGGTGATGATGTAAGTGATGAAGCGAGTGACGTGGATGAAGATGAAGATGGAACACGAGTGGAAGGTGTTATCATATTAATGAGATCTTCCCAATCGGAATCTGCAGCTGTTTCGGCAATATAATAAAATTTTGGCGGATCTTGTGGTGGAGAACCGTGTTTTGAAGACGACATAGGTGGATTATCTACATGGTGTTCATTTGTTAAAAGTGTAGCTTCCCAAATAGCATTTGAACGTGCATTTCCGATTGATTTAATTAATTGAATAAGGTCAGGTGTATAAGAAGTTGTGTCTAAGGTAAGCGACCTTATCTTTGAAATATGCGTGCCCAAACTACGATGGATTCCGGAACACTCTGAAAAATAATTTATATTTTGAATTAAATGGCCCAATAAGAGATAGATCAAGATTTGCTATCGATTTCATGATAAATTAATATTTACCTATGCATAGAACAATCCCCAAATTGATTGAGCACCATTCTGTCTTGCGTGCTCCACAGTCTGCACAAGAAGTATTCGAGATGTCCGCACCCTTGATAGATTCAATAATTCTCACTGATTTTGCATTTTCATCCATTTCCTGGCGGTTCCGACCTTTAGACTGAGTTTTTATAATTGGTTCTTCAGATAATACTGGTGTACCCTTTTTCATGTCACTTTTTCTTTTTTCAGACAAGCTTGGTAATGTTCCTCTTCTTTGAAGGGCTTTTTTGGAGAATAACGTTCCAGCACCAGTACTATCTACGTCTTG